GGGTGTATGCCCAGTAGGGGGCTTGCTGAGTTGTATGGTAACTCGATTTCCATGAAAGAAAATATTTGTATGATCGTTTCCTTTCAAATCACGTTAGTATCTGCAAACAGATTAGAGCTATGACAGTGTGTGAGACCTCCAGTTCTATGCCCTTGATGGCTCACTAGCGTATGTTTCATTTCTCTACCTGATTTGGTGCTTTCTCTTAAAAAAAATAAAGGCCATGCTTTAGAAATTTTTCACCAAGGAATTTCTGGTCTTCTGAAATTCATCTTTCCTTCTGTACTTTTCAATATGCCTTAAAAAATATCAACGAAATAGTTAATTCAGTCTCTTGAGTGATTGTTATATAAGATTTTGTTTGTTCTTTTGTGAATTTTAGTCAGCATTCCATATGTAGAGCATTTTCTTTGACAAGTATATAGACATAAGATTACTGTTTGTTAAATGCATAACGTGTGCTCTTGACCCCCTCTCTGTCTCCCTCTTCTTTCTGTCAGATCCTATCCATCCTTCCCTTTTCATTCTTATGAATCCTCAAGATATCCACCTCTGTTATGAATAGGGGCTCCCATGAGTCCTGTCAGTTTAATACCCTGAGTAGAAATAATTGCCTGCATATCTTCTTTAATGTGTAGCATAAAGTAACACCAAAGCGCTTGCTTACCCTGCAGAAAGAGATCATTAAAATGAGAACAGAGGTTAGACTTAAGACCTCCAAGTTGCTGAAGCCTAAGTGTCATGCCATCCTGACTCCAGAGAGGTTTAGAATTTGCTGTTTGGTTGAAAGCTGAGGCTGAGGATACTTTTTTCTAAATCGTCCATAATAAGTAAAAGGCCTGTTCTTTAGCTTATATGTGTAAGATTGATTTTTAAAAGATAATTTTATTCACACTACTGTATATAAAAATTGAGAAAATCAGTTCATATGAAAAATAAAATTGGTTTTTTTTTTTTCAAACTAGTGAATAGCTCTTTAACCCATTCACACCCCTTGAGACACAGAGCACCCACCTATTTTTCACTCCTGTGGGGTTTTTATAAGCAGCTGCTGTCCCACTGATGATGGGGAATGCAGTCATCAAGAGAAGAGTGGAATAACTGTTTACAATGGAAAAAATGGTTTGTACAGGGCATTGAACGAGGTAGTTCATCCCAGAGGTGTGATTTTTTTTTTTTTAAATAGGACTCTGGGATTTTTATTTTTAAACTGAGGCCAACATTGTCTAGTATATTTCCAAGTTCCTGTGTGTTATTTTGAAGTTGCTTTTATAAATAGGAATTGACTCAACTACATTTCAGTTTCTCATGATAATTCCATGTTCATGCAATTACTGCATTCTCAGGAGCCCTAAATCGTATGAACCTGTCAAGGCATCAGAGTCTGTAGGGGCATAATCCTACCCACCCCCTTGATGCAGTGGGAACATTGTGCCCCACATAATTTTACCCCATGGTCCAGAATAACAAGTATGCCCCACATAGTCCCACCCCAGGGTCTAGTGTAACATATGTTCCCAAATATATGTGTAAGCTTGATAATTTTAGAGCAAAATTTCAGAAATGCTTTTTGATCCATCATGCCTTCCAGTAATGCGAAAAGTCTTATCAAAGTAGAAGAGAAGCAAAAAGCATGCTCATGACAGGTTAAAGAGCCCTTTGATGTAGTGGTTAAGCACACCAGCTACTAACCAAAACTACCAGCGTCTCCATGGGTGAAAGGTGGCACTCTGTTTCTTTAAATATTACAGCCTTGAAAACTTTGGGGACAGTTCTACCATGTTCCATATGATCTCTGTGAGTTGAAATCATCTCATACACATCATGGGCTTGGAATGGCCCTTTGGGAAGTGAGGGGTTAAGGTGACTGGGAAAGGTGGAAGCAAAAAAGAAAGTATCATAAAAAAAAAGAAGCATGATAGGGGAGAGGTTGTAGGCACGGAATATGCTGTAGCTGCAGACTGCCAACTCTTCCCCCCTTGGATTCTCTTCCGTTACATCTGCATTCTCCCTCGTAAAATTCCCAGAAAGTGCATCTGTCCACTTCTCCTTGAGAAAACATCCAGATAGACACTCTCCTATTGAGATTTCTGCAGTCAATGTTGAAGGTCTACTGAAGAAAAGATGTATCTTATTTCAAATACTTATATAATAGCATTTCATTTCCAGCAGATCTCAAAACACATTATAAATGCTTGCTCGTAGACATCAATGTCTAAAAAGGAATATTCTTTATTTTTTAGATTTCCATAAACATCTTTATGATTCTGGAAATTTCATTTGATGTAGTAATTTTCCATGGAAAGCAAGTACCCTGTTTGTTTGTCTTTTTTTAATACTCTGGCCTCATAAAATATTAGTATGCATGTCAGCCGTTAAAAGAGAAATGCAAACATTTATCTGTAAAGCTTATAGAATACTTAGTTCAGTTCTGATTTTTCACTTGTTTCAAAAGTTGTCTAGTAGTGAATAAAGCCACATACTGTATTTTCTCAAACTTGTCTTTTATTTGTATTTTTTGTACTTTGTTCTGACTTAAGGAAAACTTGGAGAACACGTAAACTGAGGGCTTTGTTTTAAACCGCTAAAACATATTTCTATATAGTGATTTCCAGACGAGTATGGTTTTCAATTAATGAATTTGAATATCGAATAGTAAGTAGATTGATTTTCTTTCTTTTAGGTGATGGTGTTTGTACATGCTCGCAATGCCACTGTAAGAACAGCAATGTCTCTAATAGAAAGAGCAAAAAATAGTGGCCAGATTCCCTTCTTTTTGTCTGCTCAAGGACCTGAATATGGACACGCAGAAAAACAGGTAGGGATCAATGACAGCAAGGCCCAAAGAGAGACCGCACAGATGTATCAGATGTCCCAGATGTTTGTGTGTGGAAGATCCCTAATCTCCCACTTCCAGGAATGTTATCATCTTGATGTCATCTTAACCTAATGATTTCGTAACGGGCCCCTGTTACAGATTTAAGTTTGTCTGCTAGAAGGTATATATTGGCTTCCAGGCACTTACCACCATGTAACTAGACCGCAAGATCTACAAAGTATAAAGTATTTGCTATCTGAACTTTGCCAGAGAAAAATTGGTGATCCTTAATTTAAAGCTTTGAAAATAAGCTTTCAGATTTAAAGAAAAAATAATTTATGGGTATAATATTGTACCTCCAAAAGTATTTTATGTAACAGAAACATGTGTATACATTATACTCATATGTATACATTTTACTGATGTAATGCTAAATACGTCTGGCTGATTCTGTGCTTCGACGTTTACTGTCTTAATAGAATGCATTAAATTCCCACTGCAACTTAGAATGTTGTTACTGAGGCTGATGTTTTAGATTTCGATTGTGATAAGCTAATGTTAGTTGTTTTAAATATCAAGTCACTTTCACATTAGAACTCCAAAATGTCTTTATTGTCTTCATTTTATAAAATTTTCTTTGATGTGACATTTGGTGCACAGCTCCATGTTCTCCCAGCTACTTACTAATCATGAACTTATTGAGGGTTCTTGAAAACCTAAGTTTTATAGACCAGTTACAAGTCCGGAAATGTAAAGCAATGCTGTTAAATTTCAAAGCCAAGCTTTGAGAGCCACCTTGTGGATTTCTTGCTACTTAACACCTCTAAATTCCAACAGCCACTGCTACCTTAAGTAGTACATTTTTATTATTTTTGTTTTTATTTCCATTGTTAACAATAATATGTTTAGCATATATAGAGTGTTACCAAGTTCTAGACAACGTTACATTCAGTCTTTAGAGTCCTATGAACTATACATGTACTATTATTTCTTGAAACGGCACGTTTCAGTTAAGTCAAATATAGCATGAAATTTTCTAAAGTTTATAGGAACCTCACGAAGACCTTATTATGGTAAATATATTATAAATATATGTGTGTGTGACAAAACATTTCCCTCTTCTTCATTCACCGAAGACAACACCCATAGATCATTATGCTGAGAAAGAAATAGTATGGGAAAATAAAAAGTTTCACTAAGTGGGAAAACTTGAAATCCCTAATCATCTTTACTACACTAGTCTGGTATTTTTAGTTATTTTTTCTTTTCAGTTAGTTTTATTGAGCTCTGATTAACACATCATACAATTCACTTGTTCAGTAATATTAAAAAGGTTATGCACTGCTCACCACAACCACCTTCCGCACATTTTCCTCCGTCTTGTACTCATTGGACCAGGAGTTCTTTTGGTGTAGTGGTTATGCATCGGGCCGCTAACCTCAAGGTCAGGAATTTCACATCACCAGCCACCCTGTAGTGTAAAGAGGAGGGCTTCTCCTGTAAAGAGTTACAGTCTCAGAAACCCACAAGAACAATTCTGCCCTGTCCTTTAAGGTCATCACGAGTTGGAATCAACTTGATGGCAGTGAGTTCGTTTCTTGGTTTTTTGGGGTACTCCTTTGTGTTGACTGCCTGTTACCCCCACCTTCCCTTTCTGTGCCCCCCAGTAATAATTATTTCAGCTACTGTATTTTTACTACATTTGATTTTCATCCTGATAGAACTATAAATATTGGACTTTTAGTAGTATGAATGACTTACATAAACATTCATTAAGCACAGATTTTTGAATAACATTGTCTTATTCACCGTTATATGTCTGGCCCTTCATAGGGCAGATAACAAAAGGGAAAAAAATGGGTAATAAATGTACAAATGTGCTTTACACAATTGATGTATGTATGTATGGATTGTGATTAGAGTTGTATGAGCCCCTAATAAAATGATTAAAAAAAAGAAAAGAAAATGATGATGGCAACAAATGTACAAATGTGCTTGACGCAATGGACGGATGGATGTATTTTGAACAGAGTTATGTGAGCTCCCAAGAAAATGATTTTTTAAAAAAAATCCAAACCCACTGTCATTGAATCGATACCAACTCGAAGCAACACTATACAGTTTTCTGATACTTTAAATCTTTACAGAAGCAGACGACCTTCTCTTTGTCCCATGGAGCAGCAATGGCTTTGAACCACCGACCTTGTAGTTAATTAGCAGTCCAGTGCCACCCAACAGCACCACCAGGGCTGGTCGTAGCAGCCCTCAAATTGCTTTTTTCCCCCATTTGTCCTCTAATACAGACATTGTTAAAGATGTTTTCCATTTCATATTCCATTTAATGTGCACAACTATTCTTCTTTTAAAGATTCTTAATCTCATTTTACTGATTGGAAAACTAAAACTCATCAATAATACATAATATTCCCAGAGAGTCCCAAGGAATATGCAGTGCAGTCTTGGAAAATTCAGCTGTGTGTTCGAAAGCAGACAGGCCAAACTCCCAAGCTTTTCTCAAGGACCAAGCCACTGAGTCTTTGTAAATTTTTGTTGTTCGTTTCTTTTTAGGGGAAGAGCATTTGTTCTGCCCTGTCATATTCCTCTTAGATATTTTTATTGTGTACCTTTTCATACTGGAAATTATTTTTTAATGAAAAAGTATCTCTCTGAATGTGTTCTTGAAATTTCAGAATTTAAAATTATTTGTCTAGTGCTGGTCATATATTTTTCTTATTTCTTGAAATCCCATATGAACTTAAATGGTATTAACATTCTAGCAACCCTAAGAAAGCTATTACCGTGATAGTAATAGATTCTCCCTCCTATGTGTTTGAAAAATGGGAAATTAAATGCTCAAAACATTAAAATTAAATTAGAAGGTAAATGTGTTGTCTGGCACATAGGAATTTAGCCTCATGACTCTTGTTAATTGAAATACTGCTAAATTCCTATGGTATCACAGTGGTACTTTACCCCTAAGTGTTTAATGTACTCATCTGAATTCTTGACTCATGAAGTACAGATCTTAATGTATTTGGTTGCAGTTTTACTGAATGCAATATAACTTTATTTACATAGCTAATAAATAAAACTTCATTAAGGAGATGCACCTCTTCTGTGTATGTTTGTGGTACGTTTGTGGGAAAGTATACAGACGTTATTTCTGTGCCTTTTCCAGGTATCATATTTCTCTCCAATTGGTAGTAATCATTCTCTAAAACTCTTCTAACTGTCCCTGTATTTACTGTTAGTCGCCATCAGTGGAAACTCCACCTGTGTTTCCTAACTATTTCCTGAAGTGTTAAGAATGGAAAGGAAAGTACTCCAGCAGTGGCTTGAGCTAAGAGATGTAGCTTAGTGTTCTCCCCAAGGCAGGCGGGCATCTCAGCGTTTTCAAATGCGGTCCAAAGCAAGAGGCCACATTTTTAAAAGCTTATTTCTGTAGAAACCCAGGAGCCTGAGGTACGTAAATATTTCTGAACCTTAATTTCTGGTCAGTGAATGGGAACAGTATTGAAGTAAATAACGGCTGCTCTAGTGTGTTACGGTGAAGAACAAATAAGAGTAATGTGTGATTCTTTAGGAAACAGGCTGAATAATGATAAAACTGTACATATATCATAGGATTCTTATTTTTAGAAAATATATCCCAATAAATGAAATTTGAAGATCATGAGCAATATGGATAAACCAACACAGAGTAACTCTGAAGGACAGAGCAGAACTGCTCCCTAGAATTTTGGAGGCTGTGAATCTTAGCAGAAGCAGACTGCCACATTTTTCTCATGCAGTATGGTTGGCAGATAACTTTTAGTTAACAATACAGTTCCTAATCCACTATGCTACCAGGACCGTGCATCTTATAATAATGCCCTTATTCTTTCTCCTCCAAAGATTACTGTCTCAAGAACCACGTTTTTCTGTAACACAGAACATACCTCAGAGAATAATGACAGCCTGTATTACTATGCCCTGGTGATGTAATAGCTTACACATTTGCTGCAAGCCACAAGGTCAGCAGTTCAAAACCACCAGCCTCTCCAAGAGTAGGCTTTCTAGTCCCATAAAGATTTACAGCCTTGGAAACCCACAGGGGCATTGTACTGTCACAGGGTCATTGTGAATTAGAATCAACTTGATGGCAGTAAGTTTGGTTTAGGTCTGGTGTATTAATGTATTGATAGAAACAGATACGTCCTTTAGAACTCAGTTTTTATTTTTTATTGAAGCCATTGTTTCCTATTATGATAAAAGCTTAAGTTAAATGAAGGTTTATGTATATGTATGAGTGTATATGTATGTATGTATATATATGTGTGTGTGTGTGTGTGTATGTATATATATGGATGTATCTTCAAATTATGTTCACGCACAATCTCAGTCAAATAAATCACCTTTGCTTTAGGGACAAAATATGTTACAGACTTAAAATATTCTAGTACTGAGATCAGTATTCCCTTCCACCCTGTGCAATATTTCTCTGATATGAGTGCTGATGTGGGCTAAATTTTGAGCATATAGGAGTAGAATTTAGGTCTTCTGTTAGTAGACATGGCATATCATACAACATCCCTCATGATGTACTTATTGGAAATATCTATTGAACAAATTAGAACACTGAGACAAATCCAATAATAATATGTACCTTCAAGCTACTTAAAAGTGTCATTTTTATGACTTTTTATTATCTAGAGCCACCAACCGTCTCCGTGTTGTTTTCACAGATCCAGCTGTAGCATTTCTGAAGTCGATAAAAGCTGGGTTTGCTATAAGTACTTTTAAACCTACTGTGGATAGGTGGATAGCTTTCTATCATTTCTGCTCTGGCAGCCTTGCAGTGTCCTCCTGTCCCATTAAAATGAGAATTTCCCTTTCCTGGCTTAGATGATTATCTGTTAACCTAAGACAGGAACAGAGTGCTTAGTACTCTCGTTTCTCTTAGTTTTTATTTTAAATTTAGGCAAAATGTCATCCTCTCAACATTTATTCTTTTCACATCC